GACACTGTAACCACTGAGTAAAGCAGGCCAGAGCTGCTTTTGATATCTTAATCATCACAACTAAAGAGCATAAGATACATGTATCATCATTTATGGTATAGAAATCCTTACATTGTATTTTTTTCATATTAGATTTAAAAAGTTAAAAAAACAACCTTACTCAGATCAACTTGCCAAAATCTGGCTTTAGGGGAATTTTTTTGAAGATAACTCATCAACAAAAACCACATATACTCTGCAGAAATTTTCTTAATAGAGAAAATAAGGTAATGCAGAGAAGCAAAAAGAATTCTTCATGGTGAAATTACTCAAAGATGATCACTGCTAACAATGCATTTTATTTTACTTTGTATCTATACATAAGTTGTGTTAGTTTGCTTTATATGGTTTTATTTATACTGTAATTTAAATTTGCATCCTGTATCTCCCCCTGCCCCAATTAAAATTTTAACTACTTTTCTATATTGCTTTAGGATAGATTTCCAGAAGAGGAATTACTAGATCAAAAGTTATGACTGTTTAAAAATGAAAAAAAATATATATTGCTAATACTGCTTTTCAAAAATATTTTACCAGTTAATACTTCAATCAGTCAGGTCTAATATTGCTTATTTCACCACTCCAGTGCTTAGATTGGGCAGTATGAATTTAAAAATATTTGTAATTGCAAACAATAAAAGTTTCCTTGCTGTTTTAATTTTCATTTCTTTCATATTTTGTGATATTGCACATTTTTCCATAAATGGATTACTAACTGTATCCTAGTGTATATTAAAACATACTTTTGCAGCTTGAGCCCTCCATTTAGAAGAAAAAATCCCTTTTCAAATAAAACTTTAATAGAGCATGTTGACAATGTGCTTTCTTTATTATAAAGATAATTTTTAGTTAATTATTAGGTTTTAACAATCATCCAGGTTGCCATATTGAAGTTATCGTCAAGATCTGAATGAAGATTTTCCAAAGTGTTTAATTAATAGAAAACAATTTATACTCTGGGGAAATGTGGCTTATTAAGAACTAAATGAGATATAGCTAACAGCATATGTATGTAGTTTGATTTCATTGAGTACTAATTAATAGATGGCAAAATAATAATAGAAATTTGATATTTCTGTCAGAAACACTTTTACTAAAATAAATTATCTTAAATATTTTTTTCTTTTCAAGGTATCATACACATCGTAGGAAACTGAATCCTCCAAGACAGATGATATTGAGGTTTTCAGTAAAATGCTGTCCTGTTCTCATTTGCCATTTGAGAAAATGCAATCAGATATATTCACTACTATGTTATATAGTAAAATAATAATAAAATGTCTTTTCATCCATTAGAATGTGTATTTCTTTATATATATTAATTCTGGATTTGACCTTCTTATTTAGAGAAACCTACTTTATTTTCCTTTGAGATATTAGTCTTCTATTTATTTTTATGTGACTAGTATGATGAAATATTCTACATTATCAGCCACATATTGTTAGTAGAGTAAATATTAAAAATGTGCATGGTTTCCTTCTGAAGATTTTAAAATTGGCTTTAAAATGAAACTCAGAAAGTCTACTCAGAAAACATTTTATGTTTGGGAGAGAGGGGGTTGGCATCTAGGATATAATTAAATTAGTTACACTTAAATCAGTTACTACTATCTACTAGGTCCTTTACATACATCATTATTAAATTCTCACAATAATCCTCTGAAGAAAGAGCATCATCCTCATTTTATAGATAACGGGCACTAAGTGACCTACCTACCTAGCAAGTGGAAGAGCCAGGATCCAAACTGGTCAGTCTCCAAAGCTTTTTTACAGTGCATCATAACAACAAAGGGTGTTTTCTTTTACCCAGGAATGTACTTTGCTATAAAGACTATATTATGTAGATTGCTTGAAATTTTTTTTAGCTGTTTTAAATTTATGCTAGCTTTGGAACACATGCAATCAGTATCACTAACCTAGTGTTATGAGAATGTTAATAGTATATCCTGCTGTTTTTTGTCACTACTGGCTTATACAAGGGTGGGCAAAACTAGATTTATAGTTGTTCATATGGAAAGTAACACAATCTATGCTAATAATAGAGGAATATGCAAATTAGCCAGGACACTGTAACATGACCATACAGCAGGGACCTGAGGCTGCATGGCACCTGGCCGGGGCAAGGGATCTCAGGCCACGTCCCCACCCTGCGGGGCTTTATGGTGGACCTCAGGCCGCGCCCCTCGCCTGGTGCCCGGCGGGGCTTGATGGGGATCTCAGACTGCGCCCCGTGCCCCTGTGCCATTCCAGGAGACTTAAGGCTGTGCCCTCTGCCCCAGCGCCAGGCCGGGAGACCTCAGGCTGCACCCCCCTGCCCGGCAGGGCTTGACAGGGGACCTCAGGCTGCGTCCCTCCCCCAACCCGGCAGGGCTTGACGGGGGACCAGGCTGCAGCCCTCACCCGGCACCCAGTGGGGCTTAGCAGGGACTTCAGGCTGCGCTCCCTGCCTGGCGGGGCTTGACGGGGGACCTCAGGCTGCGCCCCCCGCCCCAGCACCAGGCCGGAGAACCTGAGGCTGTGAGTCCCCCACCCAGAGGGGCTTGATGGGGGTGGGGCTGGCCGGGTCTTGGTCTCACCCAATGGGGGTGGGACCAGCTGGGTCTGGGTCTCCTGCGTTTTCGAAGCACGTGCAGGTGGTGGGCGGGGACTTGACTCTAGGTCAGTGATGGCGAACCTTGGCTGGGAGACCTGAGGCTGCATCCCCTGCCCGGCGGGGCTTGATGAGTGCCCTGAGGCTGTGCCCCCCACCCAGCGGGGCTTGACGGGGGTGGGGTCGGCTGGGTCTGGATCTTGCCCAGTGAGGGTGGGGCTGGCCTGGTCTGGGTCTTGCACGATTTCGAGGTGCACGCGGGTGGGTGGGGACATGACTCTGGGTCCTGCAGCATGCCCCAGACTCTAACAGGAAGATTTTCATATACATTTTACTAATTTTCTTTCATCTCTGACACTTCTATTATAGAGAAAGGGCAAATAGCAATATTAAAATATTTCCTCTAATTCCCTTTTAATGTTCACAAATTTCGTGCACTGGGCCACTAGTCTATAGATATAAAAAGCCAGTGACTGGAATGCTATAAGACCAGAACAATCCGTCGCTAGACACCTACTGCAGCCAGCAAACTGACCTGATTGGGGGGCGGGGCCAGCAGCCAACCCCCACGGCCCTTCCCCCAGACAGCCCCTCCCCATGGCCGACCCCACCCCCAATAACCCCCTTCACCCCAATCAGTGGTGGGGCCTGCTGGCCAATCACCCACAGCACCTCCCCCCAGCCTGCCCAGCCCTGATCGGGCTCTGATCGGTGTGGGCTGGCCAACCACCTCCTGCCATCTCCTCCTCCCCACAGGCCGGGCCCCAATCCGCCTCAATTGGGGCTGGGCTGGCCAGAGCCCACCTGTGAACGAATTTGTGCACTGGGCCTCTAGTTAATAAATAATAATACAAGAATAAACTTTCACATACTCACTGTAAACCTACTTTTGCCTCACTGTATATGGACCTTAATAGCATTGCTGCCCCTGTGATTTCTATTTAGGAGGTGAGGAATCCTATTAGAGGGTGAAAGGTACTTTATTAAAACTTCTAAAATATTTGTGAAGTTTTGAAAATTCATGTGAAAAATGATTTTACATTCAAAGTTTATTTAATCTAATTCTTTTAATAAAACTAGCTGAGGTTCAGGTGTTCAGTAAAATGTAAGGAATAGTGAATAGAAAAGGAAATAATGACCACTGTTACCAAAAGGAAATATTTTTAAGTAGTTTACTTTTTTTCATTAACATATTATTAATTTGGGGGGAAAGATGAAAGGAAAAAAAGTTGATAGAATTTGGTAATTAGAAATATTTACCAGTCATGTTTGATCACATATCTTTGAAAAATAGTTTGGGTTTTTTAAGGTTGATTTATATCTAATGTTTTATACAGCTTGAGCTATGCCATGTTATAAAAGTAGAAAGAATTAAAAACTAACTAAATGACATTTCTTTTTTCTTCAAGTACAAAGAGCTACTAAGAGATTATTCAACTGGAAGTTTCTCAAACCACACATTCATATATCAATGCTTTGGAGAATTAACTTTCTTTTTTTTTTTTTTTAAAAAAAAGTATATTTTTATTGATTTCAGAGAGGAAGGGAGAGGGAGAGAGAGAGATGGAAACATCAATC